TATGTTGTTAAAGTCTGTTTATTACCATTAGTTAAACTGATCATTCTACACAATTTTCTGTGTGTACCATATTATTGACGTACTCTAAAATACCAGATTTTTCCTCAAATCTAGTTGAACAATAAACTACAATCTTTTTGTGAACAAATCTCATACAAGTTTAATATAGAAATCAGATTCTTCATTGGTAATAAGGCTAATCAAGTACTTGCACTTAATGAAAATTCAGTCATTATAGTTGATCTGACGGTTAATTGAGCCCATTTCTTGCATCAAAATCTTGTAAATTATTTGATGTTTGTTTCTAAAAAGAAATTCACAGGAATTTATAAAACTGTAGATATTTATTAATTAATTATTTTCAACTAGTAATACCAAACTGATGCTTACATGTCAATACTTCTGGAAGATGTACGACAGTTTTGAAATATCATATCCTTTTTGACAAGGAAGATTTGATCAAAAAGAAAAAATTAAACTGTGAAACAGTAAGGTTTATACCTAATAACTGATTTATGTAAATTGGCTTTGTTTCAATTTGTAAAATATATCCACTATACATTGTTTTTCAGTATATAGTTTATTTTGGGAGTTGTAAGTGAATATTTTTCATCAATGTTTGGTTTATTATTTTTTTCATAAGACTAATAACGAAGAATTCAAGACATTATTTGGAAATACAGTTACCTATTTGACTGGTCAATCAACCTTCATTTGTTTCTATTTGAGTTCAATTAGAACACTATCTTACTTACTTATGCCTGTTACTCTCAATGGGGCACAGTACATTGTGGCTGATAGTGTCTGGCCAATGGATTTGAAGTATTTTGCGTAGACAACTGTTAATAAACACTTGTATATTCTGGATGATGGCATTCCTAGTTCTCCAAGTTACCACCCCATACAGTAGTACTGTCTTGACATCTGTATTGAAAGTTCTGACCTTGGTGTTCGTTGACAGTTTTTTTGAGTTCCAGTTGTTCTAGAATACTATCTACTTTGATTTAAGCAAGTACATTGTAATACTAATATAAGTCTATCTGAAAGCCTATCAGGAAACCTGTATTTCATTATTAACTTTTGATGATAACACTTCTATATGACTAGAAATTATAATAAATTTGCTTTATGACTTTTAAAAGACTTTATTCACTTTTATGACTCGTCCTACAATCATTTACGCGCAAACCTACCATGCTAGCAAACTCTCATAATTTGGGTTTAAAACAAGTAGATTCTCAGTACATTGCAAATACTTCTGTTCAATAATTTCAATATAACTTGTCCACAGTAAGTAATTACAAAACGTTTATTAAAGTTGCTGTATCGATAAAACAATGATCCAGTGCCGTAACCTTGGTAACGAAAAACAAACAAAACTGTAAACAATTCGAAAAAATACATTACTGTTTTCGTAACTTCAGTATGATTGAAATTTCCTGTTATAAAGTTTCTGTTGACAACACTCTTATCTATTTCTCCTTAAAATGCATTTGCTATCGAGATTAGTAATCTCATTATGGTCATGGAAAGAAGTTAAATTACTCTGAGAACTTGTTTAGAGATAAACGGAGAAATTTTATTTTGATCAATTGTTTGTAATAATGTATTATATCGAAAAATAACCCCACAATATCACTACAGAGAAAATTAAGACAATTCAGTTGGGGAAATTCTCTTTATGGCTATGTCATTTATTAATGCTGGGCAATCTTCTTTATAATTAATTTATATTTCTATAATAGAATATATCAATACTGAATCATTTAACAAGTGATTGGAAGTGTTTTCAAGTTTCAAATAGATTACGGATGGAAGATAATTTTGACTTAGAGAATATTAAGAAACTGGGAATATAGAGTAGTATTGGGTCAGATATTTATTGAAATATCAAGTGTAAAACGCAAGTTATATCATAATCAGACGGTTGATGAAGACATTTTATACACCATAGATATATGTCCATTTTATGAACAAGAAGAACGGAATAAATAATCAGCTAATTAACAATTATGAGTAAAAAGAGGTAATAATAAAAGATTATTGAGTATTGGTGATAAAAATAAGGCTATAACCATGGAAGCCTGAGAATTTAAACATGAATTTTATGTACACAAATATTAGGATGGAATCGGTGAATCAATAAAGCATCAGTAGTAGATAAGTTTCTGATTTATATTCCATTTGAACCACTTCGTTTAACTTTATAGATGACTTTGAAGAAGAAATCTAGCGGGACAACGTGACCAGTAATTACGAAATATTCAAGAACTGAACTGTTGACTTTATTCATAGGAACTGTACTTGTATCTACTCCATTAGGCACTAAGACAATTTTTGTTCTTTTTCAATTTGGTAATGAAGTCGTATTCTACTTGAATTCAATTAAATTTTTGACTAGGTTTCATTAAGTAATGTACCTCATTAACATCTACAGGTATGACCATTTGAAAAATGTAGTTTCGTGGATTTACGAGTGTTTCAGCACTGGTTAATCTATGTGGATGGGAACATTTATTGAAACATTGAAGTTGATTTGAATGAGATCTTTCTGAAAAATGATTATTGGTAGATAGCTGTTGACAAATATCTCTCAACATATTTATTTGGTTGTTTATATATCTATTTAGTAGTCGAGTTCTTACATTCTGGTTTTCTTCAACAAGAATCAGATATCTGCGTTTTGAGAAAATGTCTAGGAACTGGAAATTTACAAGCCTTACCATTAATACGACTTTTCTACAAACAAATCTATTAGTTATTCAAAATCTATCTATATTTATATAAAACAATATCAGTAAATGACTTAATAAACAAGTGAGAACTTAAGAAAGATTAAGAATACTACATTCACAAAAATCTCTTTCAGTGTAATCAAATCTCACAAGTAATAAGCATTTCTAACAATGCTTTTTCAAAACGAAAGGAGTCCAATAGGCCTTTTAAAAGTCTCTTTCTTCTTACCCACAGATTCCTAATGCAATTAGCGACGTTTAAAAGTACGATCTAAAAATTATAATTATAGGAACAAAAGTCTGGTATGACTGTCCTCAGGTAGATATGTGTCACACTTTCAGGTTTATTCTGACAATCTATTGAAAACACACACGGATTCATGGAAATAAACCAACATATAACTAACTAACTCACTAACAACAGTCGCTATCACATAAGTAATAGAAATGCATAAACTTAACCATCCAGATCCATATTATGAGTAGAATCCTATACAAATTCACATGCTGTGCTACAGATCACTGATTATGCTTTATGAACAAATTCATTCATGATTTGGAAGTGGTTTTCCAATGTATTTTTCAAGAACAGTAAGAAAGACTTTCCCAAAACAATAAAACCTACCTTTTCTGTCGTCTTAGTCGAAACATACTGTTCAATACATACCTTTCTCTTTAGTTTACTGGTTTACATAGTTATTGTGTACTTTGTCTTTTATTTATTTACAACAACTGGATTTCAGTGAAGTGTCATTCAATACCCTCTTCTACTAAGCTTTTTACTGTTTAATTATAACAGTAAAATTGAGCAAGTGAATACAGTTTTGAAACCACTCAATATTTTATAGATTAGATCTTGGTATACACATCTTATGATAACTAAAATCATACAATTGAATGTATTATGAGAAAGAAATTCTGGTCACTATGTTGATACATTTATCAGAAGGACGCCTTTGATAACAGTTGAATTAAGCATTGGAAATGGATGATGATTTAGTGAGTTGGTAGGTTGCATTACATCACTAATGGTAGGGACCACCGGAGGTCTTGATATTAACAGTCAGATACTATGCTCTAGTCCCCAAAAGCTGGATAAATCTAGTATCATCTAATATTGATTTCGAAAGATAAACCTATAGAGCTTCATTCCCAGTTCGTCGAGCTATTTGACCCAGCATTGTATCCTAACAACGTTTAAAGTTAGAATTATAGTTACATAGCCTAAAAATTTCTTTATAGAGACTACGGATATGACCTCAATTCTGTCTCATAAATCTCACATCATTCAAACATCTTCGATACTTATCAAATGTACACACTAATACCACACTGTATGGATGACATTGCAGCCACATGATCTTGAAAGACCATATGCAATTAATACGCAATACCATATCTAGAAAGTCCAGTGTTAATGATTGACAGAACAAGCCTAACATTCCAATAAATATATGAGCCAGAAATTCATCATACATGCATTATCAAATATTTATTCAGGTAGCCACAGTAATTGTATTTTAGATCTTGACTACTGTGATAAAACGAGGTATTTATTAGCAAAATTGATGAGTCAAACCGTAATAAATTAATTCTGCGGGTAAAAACACAAAGAACAGAAATCAGCGTTGGTCTGAGTCGTCACAATCACACTTCATTTGCTACGACAAATACACTGGAAGGAAACAGAATAAGATACCCAACTAAATAAATAAAACTACGTGGACGAGGACCTAATAAGACAATTTATTTATTTGGACACATGAATATTGGTACAAGAGAGCGCCAATATATATGCGCCACACAAAACAATGAAAATTCGAGAGGAATACAAAGAAAGAAAAAAAAGCTAAGGAGCGCAAAAAAAAGAACAATAACGAAGAGATTGGTGTAAGGTAATGTGCTAGTAATCAGGGAACGCAAAGGTACAATCGGAAAAAAATTTTCAGGTAAGGGAGACACAACCACTTTTTATGAAGAAAGTAAAAGAAGGTTACAGCAGGATCGCCACTGGCTTCTATTCTGAGCCATATCTGATAACGTCTCTAGCCACTGTGTAGCACCATCTCTCAGACCCCAACCAGGGAGTCGTGTAGGACCAACACAAGCCAGTCCTTTGCAGCTTTCTTTCATGCACCAATCTTTGGTCACCGGCTACCATGAGATCGCATCTCCTTACGATGCCCCACTGCCTTGTGGGTTTGACCTTTAGGTCAAAGGCTCGGGGAGTGGCCCCCTAAGATAACCACCTGCTTCGGTTTGGGCACCCGGGCAGTATCACAGCCCACAAACAAACGATGAACCCTATGTCTATGGCAACTCTATGTCTAATAAGACAAACTAGTCAGTGACAAGGTTTACAGAACATGAGTTCGGTCCCAAGGTCTAACGAAATTCCTCGAGAGCTAAGACGTGGAGTACCTTGATCTACTACTGGCAATGAATGACGCAAGATTACATTAAGGAAAAAAACTAGATTATCTTACGAAATTTGAACGTGGAGTTAAGCGCGTTAGAAGAATGACAAGAATAAACTACTAAATCAGCGGAAAATATACCAGTCGCTAGGTAGGAAAACTATATACATCCCTAAAAACCAAGTTAATTACTTTCTGTGGTTACCATAAAGTTAGCATCACAGAAGCTAGAAACCTGGAATTAAACACCAAAATGGATTAAAAAATACTCTAGAACATGACAGATACTAATCAGTTTGTTCGGTTGGCAGGAAGACTACTTGGGGAATAACAATGCAAAAGACTATACAGCTATTTTGATAGTTTTGTTCTTTGAGCCGGACGGTTTGGTCGTGAAGCTTTCATAGTTCTTCGGAACGACATAATCAGCACAAAATTCAGGTAGAAGTCTTGGAACTTGAAAACATATTTTCCAAAATTACTAGAGCTAAGTAAGAACCAGTAACAAAAACACTGAATATGTATTGCTCTACCAAAAAGTACTGTACAAAATGATTGACCTCTGTTTATTGGGTTTTAGACAACTTAGGAGCGCTTATTCCAGCAGAAAGACGGTCTAAGAAATCTGAAGTTGTAACTTGTGTGAGAATTCTTTCTTCTTCGAAACCAGATTTCGACCCTTGGAGCTGCTTTCCTATGTTGGTTTGATGTTGTTTAACAGCATTAAAAAGAGCGACTGTCCCCCTAGTAGCCTGACATCGTAAACGCTTTTCTCGTTCAAATTCAGACAAGTATTCACGGGATGATACATCACGAGCAGCCTTATCACCTGTATTACGTTGAATTCCTGCAAAAGCGATTGGTGATACGTAGGCCTATTAATAGTAACTGTTAGTTATATATCAAACTTGCCTGTTTAAGCCAAATACGTCGCTTTTTCCTGGCAATACTGATGAGAGAACCCTCGTCCTCATCGTCAATACCCTCACGACGCCTTTTAGCCTTTGCACGCTCTTGATCCGTTTTTGCCAAGCATAGAATAGGATGGGAATCTTTTGGGATATTTTCTTCAAGCAGTTGAAGCAAAATCTCACGAATAACCTTGAAACCCATTCTTACAACGCAACCTTTCAAAATGGTTCAGATGGTTCAAATGGTTGTGAACAGAACGGAAGAAGCTTTCGCTTAACAGGCTTCCGTGTCTAGTAACAGGGGATCATGAATAGCTCCAGGCAGGAACCTAGGTGTGTAAACGATAAAAGAGGAAAAAGAAATTGGTAAATCATAGTGTGATACTATCCTCAGCTCTGAAGAATGTGTCAAGTTTTCTGTTAAACTACTCCTGCGAAATCACTTGGACCAGCTTAGCTGGCGGTGAATTCCAGCATTTGACAACTGTTAAGAAGTAGAAGTTGTGTCTACAGTCCGTTCTACTATGTTGCGTCTCCAGTTTCTAGGTGTAACCCCTTAGGTTTGTATTGAAGCTAAATTTAAATAGGTGTTTAAAGGGATGTTCAGAAGTGTTAAGGATACTGTAACCCATTAGGTCACCTCTTAGACGCCTGTGCTCTAACGGGTAAACGTTTGGTGATCGGAGGCCTTTTTCAAAGGGCTTGAATTTGAGTCCCCCAACTGACTTCGTGGCTCACCGTTGGATACGCTCCTAATTGTCCTTATCCTTTTGGAATTAGGGAGGAAATACTATGTTTCCGTTATCTAAATGGGGAAGAACAAAACTGTTGAAGATTATGTGGAAAGTTTTTCCTTCAGTCTGGAGTTCGAAAAGGACAGGAGTCGAGATGGCCTGTGTCAGTCCTGCAACGATGGTCTCTCAGTCGATCCGAATTTCGTTTCAAAAAGCTGACAGATTGAGCTTCAATCATGTGTTGAGGTTATGAACTCCACTTGTTGATGATTTGATGGGAACGTCGATAGTCAGTTGACAAGTAATTCGTTCTGGACTTGTCAACTTTTTTGAAGTGTCCCCGTAAATTCTCTGTTTAGGAAGACAAGAAGAGCGAGGGTATATAGGGTGCAAATTATCACTAGGTAATTTGGAGACCGTAACCAAGTCACTTCTGGTTTTTCGATATGACAGTGGGAATAGGTTTAGTTTGGCCAGTCGAGTATCATACGGGAGCTTCGCTTATCCGAGAATCAGTTTAATTTCTCTTCTGTGAGCCTTTTCCAAAGGTCCACTGTCTTTTTTAAGCAAGGGCTTGTATACAGATCTCAAGTTTAAGACGCACGAATACTGTGTAGTGGCTGTGCTTCGTTGGCCAATCACCCTCGTAACCGCTATCATATAATCCTCAACGGTGTTTGAAATCAGAAGGTAAAGAGAAGCAGCGACTGCAGTTTCATTAGCAGATAACTCAGACAACGAAGCAGAGAGGCAAATGAGTGAGTCAGCGTATCGATAGAGCAGTGAGTGGAGGTTTAAATGTACATGTTGACATGGCTCTTCTTGTTGGCCACAGGGTTCTGAAACCTTCGGTGGCTATCGGACAACAGCGTGCAGTAGTTTTCAAGTTTTGGCTAACGGTGACTACTAAGGCATTGGGTGTATGGACAACAGGGAGCCCGATGACAATCATCACTTATGTATCCGAACCTTGATGACCAATATGCATCACAATATACTTCGAAGTATTAGTCGGCAACTATCAAATTTTAAACCAGTCATCTCATTTCTACAGGTCATTTTGGATACCATTATATCCTAAACATTGAGATGAATTAAGTGACTGAAGACATTTTCAGACATCAGCTTCAGTGAAGCTAGGAACATAACTATCCTTGAAACTTGTGGATATAGGGAGCATGACATCAGATGATTGACGCTTATCAGCAGTAACTAGGCAAATACTCAGTGTTCGAAGCCAGCATTTAAATCTGGAAATCTCAGTCAGTAATGAATATAAGATTTTAAAGACAACACCTAGTACTGTACCTTACGTACAGATCACTTCAGATACGCCTATATGTGAATAGCTAGAATAAATTTATTTTGTGATGAGTTTTTATTATTTATATTCCTTTTACTAATTTTCATAATTTGTACAATCACCATTGTTGAGTGCAAAATTTTTGTTTAAAAATCATGACCTTGGATCCTCTGTTTTTGAGCATTTCCCGGCACAACACAAGTGGTTGTAGCTCTCAAGTACACTGCTGCATATATATGCTTCTTATCCTCAATTGCTCGCCATTACGATAACAGAACTCTACTATATTTGCTATGTATGTCTACAGAGCACAATGTTGTCCTCATTCATACTATATCGGATTATAATAATCATAAGTGGAGCTACTGACGCTTAATAATTGTGGATTATCGGATAGAAAAAAACTCAAACAAAACAACTCCTTACGACCTACGAAACATCCTTTATATCTTTCTTGTGTGTACATTTTATATTTGGTATATTAACTCACTAAATTTTTGGCATAATAACTTTGTCATTATTTTCATAAATGATGATTTTTTAGTTCACTGCAATTATGTGGTAAACCTCACGTTTAATTTGTTTATCATACAGTGTGGTTTACAGACTCGTAAGTTATTGGAACTAATATATTCCTCTAGTGACCTTAGTGACAGCAAAACTCCTACCTTAACAAATCCCACTGAATTACTTCAATTATCTGGTTTATTTGTAACCACGATTAATGACATCTTCGAATTCAGGCTTCTTGCACATAGGGTTTGAATTATTTAAAATGCTGCTTGGACTAAAAAATGCCGCTCAAATGTTTCAATGACTCATGGATGGAATCACAAAAGGCTTTGCTTATATAGGTTATGTCTTGATCGCCTGCTCATCCACAGCATCTACACGTTCACTTCAATCACTTAAAATGTTATAGATTTGTAACTAATCCACAAAAACTGAACACTCGGCGCTCCAGCTTTGGACGTTCTGCAACTCACAAAGTGTCAAGCCACTTCAGAAAAAAGTTAAGGTTATTGTTAACTATCCAGAACAAAGCTCAATAAATCCTCAACGTCAATTTCTCGTTATACGTAATTTTTATTGTCGTTTCTTGCCTCATTGTTCAGCAACGTTACAAACTGTAACAGATCTTTTGAGGCTGGATAGAAAGAAAAACAGACGAAGAAAGACGAATTTTTCGCCTTATCGCGATACAAGAGCTGTCTTTGATAATGCGGCGTCCATGGTGACAAAAGCTACTATGTTGCAGCATGCAAAATCCTACCCTACGACACACCTAATTCTATACACAATAGGGGCAGTACTTCAAAAACGAACGAATGACATTTCCACACCTATAACATTCTTATCTCAAAGTATGTCACCAGCGCGAATATGTTAAAGGACCTTCGAAAGTGAATTACTAAAGATTTATTTGGCAATAAACAATTTTAGTCGTACAATACAGGGACATTCAACGCGTTGTATGACCGATATTCCCCACGTGAAGCAAGACAACTGGGTTATATCTCACAATTCACAACTGACATCCAGTTCACCAAAGGTTATTCCAATATCGCAGTTAGTGCTTTGTCTTGAGAGGATATTAAAACTGTGGTACAAAACAAGCTATTAACCTTGACGATGAAGATCTAAAAACCTACAGAGAGGAGCGTAACATGGTCCTCAAAACTGTGGTGTGACGATTGACCACGGGTGAATTCGAGGAAGCTGAAGGAGGCTAAGAAGCAGCCGGAAATATTCCATCCAATCACCTTTTGGTAGAATATTCTAGAATTCCTACGTAAAGCTTTCTGATTGGACAACGCTAATAACCCGCTGTATTTGGATTAATGGACTGTAATGATGATTTCGTTCCTACTAAAAACTATATATATCTGACAATTTTGTAATATAATTGACACTGTTTGGAATTATATTCCTTTTCTTAGTCTTCTGTCTTCTTATTGCGACTTGGGAGGGTTTTGGTGTTCTAGTGCTCAGTTATACGTGGTATTTCAAGAAAACAGTCTTCAGGATATAACATGTGGCAATCCTTTTCCTCGAATGATCTTTCTCCTCCGATCTTTCAGCTGGTAACAACCATTCTTTGACTCCTTAAGTCTGTCGACAAAGTGTATTCTGACAGCTCCACGGGCTTTCACACCCTGAGTTCCGAGCCACATCGAAACTCATCACACAACTTTCTGTCTGGCTAAAAATGAACTCAGATGTGGGCCAGACACTGCGTAATGTAACCCTACAATTCTTCAAGCTAGACAAATATTTACTGAGAGATTTCATATTCAACAATCAACACAAAAGGAAAGTCGACAATGGTGAACGAGGTCATTCTGTATGACTTGCTATTACTGACAATGGATATATTATTCTATCTTGAGTTCAATTGTGTTCTTCAAAGGCACTAGACATCATGTTGCTGACTTTTATAATACGATGAATCAGAATAGGATATAATAGGACCGCCACTTGAGACCTTATCGATTGAGTAGTCACACCATGAAAAACCTACAATTTTAGGACTAGGTCTATCATTATAGCAGTTCTGATAACGAACCTAGACCATAATTCTAGATTGGTGAGCCTAAATTAGGAATTGCAGCTTGAAATTTATCTCCGTTTTCACTTCAACTTTTCGATCGATTTCTACTTATGTTAAGCTATAATTTTCTGTCAGTGAAAACTTCATATATGGGCAAAATGGTTCTCAGAATGCTTATGGAGAACTATCTACTTCTTTTAATTCATCACGCCACTGACTAGGGACTCCATTCGACAAACAATTTGTTGTGAGAATATCCAACATATGACACGATAACATAAAAGATGTGACTAGAATTCGATTCATTTGAAACGTATTTGTTACATTCATTAGGAGTACCACTAAAGATAAATCTGTGGATCAGCGACGTAGTCGATCTATGCCGAATGATCAGGGGCCTACTCGGGTCGGACAGCAACGGTGTGAGCAACAGCTAACTTTGGAGTGACACCTTGCGGTCATCACCAAACGTGTATTACCTCTTCGTCGTATCAAAGTACCATGGATGCTTTGAAGACCTTACAACGTGAAGGACGTTATTATAGAAATTTATTAATGAAAGCAGATACAAGAAGGGTTTGGTGACATTTTATTGTCCATATAGACTCATTTAAAATTTCATCCTCACTTTCAATTAAAATTTCACTAGAAATA